TATAGTTAGCGTCTTTATTAGGGAGTTTCCTATACCTCACCTTTATATGTTGAATATACCATATAATACGGTCAGTATTATTCAGGCAAGAAATAGTAGGGTTTGTTAAAGAATAATGACTGGACAGTGGTCAGTCAATTACTTGGTAGGTAGTTCGGTTTAAAAATGATGACACAAAAGCGTTCAGAGGGCCTTTGCGCTTGCGCGTTATCGCTGGCAGGCTGGCTGTCAGTAGTGAAATAGACCGCGTAAGAAAACATGTGAAGCACGTGACTGGCTCCTTGTTTGTCTTGGGGAAGCGATCGAGCCGATATGACTCCTGGCTGAGATTAACAGTTAGAAGATATTTGAAGCTGCACGTGATAACGAGAATTTGAGCCGTAAACAACAGAGGGAAGTCTTGCCAGACTTTACTGCTGTTTCTAATGTTTATTTCCAGAAGAGAATTTGGTCACGTGACGTAGCAGGCCCGTGTTTACGGTGTATTTTATTAGGGTTTGGCTAGTATGAATCGTGAAAAAAAAATACATTTTTATATCGTGAATAGCTCAGATGCTAAGATAAATTATTTTTGAGATATTATTTAACAGAGGAAGAAAAAAATAATCTGGAATAGCTCGGAAGCTAAGATAAATTACACAGGCCTGCGAATTTAAACTTTATAAAAGTTGTTTTGGTTTTAATAACACATTTTTCATAATTCAGCTACGCAGGTTTCGAAAATAACCTTTTTTTTTATATCGCGTAAAAATTTTTTACAAATCGGGAAGAAGAAAAAAGCTCTTACTTCTACCAAATTATTATTTCGTTTGTCATAATGAGCATTTTTATCATTCTGTTTGTTAGCAAAAATACAAATCAACTGAAGAAAAGGGAAGAACATTGATGTCAAACAAATATGCATCCTCATTCATCCTGATCTTTTTTTGTGTGTGAAATCTACGTCTTTCAGTCTCAAAACTACGTATTGTGGTCTTTTTTTATGTATTGCGTTATGGAGTTTTTGTGAAAAATCTGCACCTGATGGAGAAAAATAGATATCATATTCGGATTCAACGTACAGGAATTATTGTAGAACATGTAAAAATTTCAAGACAATAAAACCATCGCAGACCCGTGTTACTTTTGAGATATGATTTAACAGAAGAAAAAAAGACACGTTTTATATCGGGAATAGCTCGGAAGCTAAGACTCGGTAGTAGATAATCTTCGTGAAAGATTCACTGTAGCGCTACGTCATCAGATACGCCCGGCATGGCCAGGTGGTTAGGGCGCTCGACTCGCAATCTGAGGATCGCGTGTTCGAATACCCGTCACACCAAACATGCTCGCCCTTTAGGCCGTTATAAAGTGACGTTCAATCCCACTATTCGTTGGTAAAATAGTAGCCGAAGAGTTGGCGGTGGGTGGTGTTAACTAGCTGCCCTCCCTCTACTCTTACACTGCTAAATTAGGGACGGCTAGGACAGATAGCCCTCGTGTAGCTTTGCGCGAAATTCAAAAACAAACAAACGTCATCAGATAGTTTTTACGTAGCTTTGGTTAAAAACACCTATGCCCCATGCGTGTTTTGACCGAACACAGATATTCAGTATTTGTGAAAATTATTAGTTATTGGCACATACTCAAAGCATCTATAACCTCGCGAATTCTTTAAATATATTCATGCATAACACAGGAAAAATATTTGGAGATAACAGATAAAGTTAAGCTACTAAATACTATATTATTTCATCGTAGTATAGGTGTAGGATGAGTTAGAATGAACAAGACACAATCATTGTCTTTTCTTCCAAGAATAATAATTACTCATTAGGGACAAATGTACTACTAAACGAAAACCTGTTCTTATCATATATTTATAAGTATAATCTATTATGTAAGTGTCCTTTAAAATAGCTACTGTTTTACCATACATAAAGAACAAGAAATATTCTTGCAACAAAAAATATTCGAAACTTGTAAAGCGAACTTCGTTGTTAATTAATATTTTTTGTTACTGTTCTAATAAAGTTAAAAATAAAAAAAAATGGTTTGTTTAAAATCCTCTGAAGTTTTTGTGAAACTTTGATTATTTTCCTTTATGTATGGTTTTTCTCTGTTAGTCCATGACATGGTGGTTAGGGCACTCTGCGGGTTCGAATCCCCCGTCTCGCCAAACATGCACGCTCTTTCAGCTGCGAGGCGTTATGATGTAACGATCAATCCCACTATTCGTTGGTAAAAGAGTAGTCCTATAGTCTTTTACTGTTAAGTTAGGGACGGCTAGCACAGATAGTCCTCGTGTAGCTTTTTGTGAATTTCATAACAAACCAAATCAGTGCCGACGAGGCCTCTCGCTTAATATCAGGACTCATCAAGCCGGCTCGGATACGATAGACAAAGGAATGGTCTAAGCTCTGTTTATAACATCAACTTTCTAAAACAACGACTGTTATGGTGTGATTTATATTGATTGATTGGTGTTAATTGTAAATATTTTCAGTTTTGTTTGAATCATTTACAAATCAGATTTTTTATGATAAGAATCAATAACACAATAATATATATTTTACTTCTGACACTGACTATTTATTTTTATTTGAATTAACTTTACTGTCAATTAGCACACGAGTAAATAGTCAGATGAAGTTAAGGCATTTGGAAGAAAATTTTTTATCAGGGTGTAGATTTTGCGAAGTTTGAGCGTTCAGACAAAAGAAAAAAAAGAGAAAACTTAATTCTTTAATGCACATACATAACGCGTTTGTTCTAATTTCAGTTGTTTCCTTTTCATGCGTGGTGCCATCTTTTCCCAGTAAATCATGGAATGAGGTCCTGCTCACATGCTTAATTAACTAAGTAATCAAATACTGAGAAAGGCGACCCGGGGCAACATTTACCTCAAGTTGTTAGAAGGTTTGTTTACTTCAACTTTCAACAATAGGAACATTCTTTTCAAATGTGAAGTGGCTTGTTTTACACTAGTCGTCTTTTTCCAGCCATGAATCGACCTAATCAGAGCCCGTGTTTGCTGTTACTGAGACTTTTTTTTGTCCTGTGAAATTGGGTGGTAGTTGTTACATTTGTGCACAGAAGCAGCTTAAGTTATAATATGTTTCCGCAGCTGACCTTTTGACAGCTTCGCCGCTTCTGGTGAAGAATTCCCGAATTCGAGTGAAATAGGATGTCATAAAACACTGAACCTTCCACTGTTAGTTGTCTTGTTTTTTTTTTTCATTGCTCAACCATTGCACATGGATCACAAATGTGATTGGCGAATGAAACATTTTCCGTCAGCACTGATAGCAGTTAAATTTGTGGGTGACCTTCGATGCACCATATGCTGGGTGATCTCTACTTCACCCCACATCCTTTCCTTCTCCAGGAGTGAATGATGGAGTACGTGAACTAATTGATGTACTAAGCAAAATTTGGTTCACCAGACCCACGAGAATAAACCCTACAATCCCTGTTGTGTATTGGAATATATGCCCGTATTTCTGCTCTATTTTTATATCTTAAAATACCACACAAGTTCCAGACTTGTACTCTATCATTTAACGATTAGAGTATTTTAGTAAGATACACGTGTTTTGTTGTAATCCGTGGAATGCAGATATTGTAATACTTTCGTCAGTTACAAATCAGCAATATTGCGAGCTCACAGAAGACGATAATTTTTTTCGATTACATATAAATTAGTAATGGTAATCCAGGATACGAGTCTATGGAAGCCAATACTTTTGTCAGTTACTTATAAATTTAATAATACGTTCCAGAATAGGAGTTTTCAGAAGGGATACCTTATTTCTTTAATTACAAATTACATATTAATTACTAATGAAGTTTCAGGAGGAGAGTCCACGAACCTGATTCTCTAGCACATTTTTGTGTGTTTATAAACAAGAATCAAACACAAACATATCGGGTTTTATTATACACCAAGTTATCAAAGCACGAAACTTCATAACATGGCGTAAATAATCTAAAACGTTTTAGATGCATTTTTTCGCGTGATGAAACAGGATATCTTTCGTATTTCACCGTATATTTAGAAATGACTGTTTTTGTTGTTGTTTTATGTTAGGAAACACAATCAATAGTTTGATGAATCAACATATTGAAGTATTTGGCTTCAGTTAGTTCGAAAAAAAAATCAATATTAAAAATACGTAGTAACTTTTATTGTACTTCTTTCTCATACAGTAGTTGCCAACCCCAATGTCTCAGCGGTAAGTTTGAGGGCTTGTATAGCTAAAATAGGGTTTTGATACCCGCGGTGGGCAGAGCACAGATAGCCCTTTGTGTAGCTTTTTGCTTTACAACAAACTTATCCAATAATAAAAAATTGGAGGCATTCTTTTTTTTTGAAGGATGCATATATTTTATCTAACGCCCCCAAAAAGCCATAGGAAAAGTAATCTTATTTGTGTCATATTAGATAGCATATGTTTTTAACGTTTCCTCTAGACTGAAATAAAAATATCAGATTTTTCCTCAACACCAAAATACAAACGGAAGGAATAAAATTACATATCAACATTAACCATCGTTTTAAATATTCATGATTTCTTAGAACACTGTAACCACAAAAATATGGCAGCTATCTGGGCCTTGTGTTAAGGAGTAGAATAGAATGATAATATATTGTTGATCGTAAACCATTTGTAAAAATTACGTCATGATTGACCCTGCATGGCCAGGTGGTTAGGGAGTTTGACTCGCAAGCTGCGGGTTCGAATTCCCGTCCCACCAAACATGCTCGCCCTTTCAGTCGTGGGGGCGTTATAATGTGACGGTCAATCCCACTATTCGTTGGTAAAAGAGAGTAGCCCAAAAGTTGGCGGTGGGTGGTGATGACTAGCTGCCTTCCCTCTAGTCTTTCACTGCTATATTAGGAACGGCTAGCGCGAAATTCAAAACAAACTAATTATCTCGATTCCGCTTACCCAGAATGTATTTCATGTATAATTGTGTTACGTAATGTTTATTTATCAATTTATTTTATGATTTTCAAGGAACGCCAGTCAACAGGGTTCCGATTATGGCCAAGCAGGTATTGGACCTATATGAACTCTACAAATTGGTGGTTGCAAGAGGAGGTCTGGTGGAGGTTATCAATAAAAAGATATGGAGAGAAATCACCAAGGGTCTCAATCTTCCGTCTTCTATTACCAGTGCTGCATTTACATTACGCACGCAGTAAGTCACGCCCTCTTCTGTTTTTCAATGAATTTAATTATGGTCGGGAAAAATATACTTTAAAAAATTAAATCTTCTAATGTATTAGGCAATTGAAGTAAATTTAGATATTCAAATGTTCAGATAGTAACTTTATTTTATATACATGAATGAAAGCAAATCAAGATCTGAATATAGACCAAGAATTTATAAGCATGCACTGACCTAACCAACAAACGGTTTGGTAAATATGCCATCCGGAGGTTAAGACATATACAACACCAGATATATGATTTTATTTATAACATCCGCCAGAAGGATCATGTAATAAATCGCCACTGATTTTTTAACAAATGCACAACATTTAACTAAAATTACTCTTACGTTTTTTTTTTAATTGGTGCAGGTTGTTGGAATAGACTTTGAATTTACTGAATGAAAAATATACCCATGAGTCACCAAACCGTTTGGGATGACTAAAATTATTATTTACTAAAATACTTTTTATTTTTAAAAATAAAATATTAACATTTTAAGATTATTTTTGAAATAACACAGTATTACCTTTAATATATATATATATATACATATTGCGTGTCCGTGAAGACTACACATGTATCTTTGGTAATTTCAAATGTTAAATTACTAATCTCACGTAGGAATGATCGAGAAATCTTACCTTTGCAAATATGAGATTGAAAACTGCTAGTGAAGCATGGGAAATAGTTAGTGTCTCTACACACACGCGCGCACATGAAAACTGTTTTTTCTATAGCTGTTGTCGGAATTTTGAAAAATATGAATATGATACTAGTTGTTGCAGATTTATGACTCGAATAGCGACTACGCAACTATTACAAAAGTAGCTTAGTTATTAACACTCGCAATCCCATTAAATAACTGCTCCATCTGTCTTAAATACCATTTATCCTAGAACTAGGCCCGGGATGGCCAGGTGTTTAGGGCGTTCGACTCGCAATCTCCGGGTAGCGGGTTCGAATCCCCGTCACACCAAACATGCTCGCCCTTTCAGCCGTGGGGGCATTATAACGTGACGGTCAATTCCACTGTTCGTTGGTAAAAGAGTAGCCCAAGGGTTGGCGGTGGGTGGTGATTACTAGCTGCCTTCCCTCTAGTCTTACACCGCTAAATTAGGGACGGCTAGCGCAGATAGCCCTCGTGTAGCTTTTGCGCGAGATTAATAACAAACCAAACCAATCCTAGAACTTTATAGATTGGACTAAGACTATCATAACCAACACATCAACAAGACGAAGTACAAATCTTCACCATACATTGTACCTTACTAAACGTAGTGAACACCAAAACAACTAACTGTCAAAGATTGGTCCTTGATCAACTTAGATATCCCCTTTTGCTGAGTTTGTTTTGTTTTCTTGTTCATTAATTTTGTCTCATGGCTGTTGTATGTCGGTTCATGACGGTTATAATCCTCTCTACTGATAAATCTAATGGAATTAATTTGAAAATAGAATTGTATCGTGTATTAAAAATGCCTTACCTTATAACTAAAATTATTCACAATCAAAATGAGGCTGCCATCCGCTTGTTTTAATCAAGTATCACCATACGCTGTAGTATTATGACACGCATGTCGCGCCATCTATTATAGAACGTGAACAAGATTTAGACTTTTTTTTTTTTAAATTAATTATTTCCATTTCTATAAGTTGTGCTCTTAAAGCTTCAAAGTTTACAGTACAGAAGGTGTGCAGGAAATGTCTGCCAGTGACAACTATGATATTTATGTTTTTTTTTTCTTTGCGGGGGGGGGGGCGTTTCTTTGACAACTCGTGGAATTAGTCATCTCACGAAAATTAATATTTGGGGAAAAACTACACATAAATCTGCTAAAGTTGTTCTCGTCTAGTAATCACCAGGCAACAAAAGGTTTCGAGCGGGCGCATATGATGTTCCACTTAAAAGACCTAGCGGTAATGTTTAGAATAATAACTTGTACAATAATTTGATCCTATTGATCGTATGCAAATTTTACGGAGGAAATAAAAGTATTTGACGACTCCCCCTGTAGGGCACTTCGGGACTAGCCTTAGGATTTCAAAGGCACAGCGGCGTGTCGAATCTCCTTAATTACTTGCTTTGTTCTAATTCCGCTGCCGCTAGCTGGTTCTTACCATTATTTGGAGTTACAGACATCGGAAGAAAGTGGGTGGTAGTTGGGTATAGTGATTGGTTGTCCCACGGGCTAAGCCCGGAGGTTTCTAGGTTTAGGGAAACTCCAATAAGACAATAGAACAAAGAAATGGAAGAAAGAAACGTACAAAATTATAGATGTATTTGTGTATGAGGTTCTGAACTAGTGTTTGATTTTCGGCTGTAACCCTACAGATGATGATGTTGTTCAACGCATCGTTTTCTTTCATTCTTCGTGATTGTACTAAAACTGGTGTTTAAAGTACACTTAATACCCAAAACTGAAATTAAATATTCTGTTGTTGCTGTTTTTTTTTCCTTCTTCTTCTTTTTAACAGGAAGTTGCGTTACAGTCTTCCTGCTCGTAAAGAGCAGTCAGATAAGATTATCATGAAAAGTGACGTTAATCAGGGTTTATCATTCAACGAAGTTCACTTTCACAAGAGAAAATTCATATATTATAAACAAAAGACAACTGAAGCAGTCACAGTATTTATGTCACAAGTTTAAGTTCTCTAAGGATTATTCACCAATTTTAACAGATGGTGGTTATTGAGTTCCGAGATCAAACGCACGCCATCACGTCGAAAAGGGGCTTTTTTTTGTAATTAAATACCATGCAACTTTGAAAAAGAAATTACCGAGATTTATGCACGTTTTTCACAGCTGCTACTTTGATCTTTTTACCAGAATATGATGCTTTGAGTCTCCTTGTAAGTTTACTTTTGTTTGATATCGTCTAAAATGAAAATAAACCGGCTTTCATGATGTTTAATGATCTTAGACTCGTGTTCTCCAGCGTATGTTTTATTGATTTCGGAAGAAGAATACGACATCAAAATGTCGTATTATGGGAAATTTATGTTGTCAAAATATATATTACAAAGGAAAAATAACCAGACCGAAAGACTGAGATATGAGTTATATTAAATAGCAGTTTTTTGTTTGTATTATGAATCATAGGGTTTATCGGGATATTAAAGATCACGATCGGATTAATGACGTTACGTAGTATACTAAGATGAGTCATAATCACATCATGACATACAGTAACGAAGAATTACAAACTGGAGTGTCCCATAATTCTCGGTAGATTGTGAGTCTGCTGCCCTACGTTGTTGAAAATTCTAATTTGATTACAAAGTAGAAGAAAAAAACTCCAGGGATTACAATGACGTCGCCAGGGTATGACTCACCCAATAGCTTGTTACATGAGTAGTAACATGTTTTACATATTGTCATACATATAGTACGCAGCACGTTTCCTTTTTGTTTAAGTAGCAATGTAAATTTAATATTCGTTTCGTTTTCTTTACTGTACGTATGAAGGCATAAAATTCATAACTGGATCATTAAAATAAAATGCGCATGCGTGCTATTTTTTGTAGATTCTTTAGCAGTTCCGTTGAAAGACTGGTAAAGGCTTATGAATAAAATATAAATAAGTAAAAAGTCCCGAATGTAGTATTAACAAGATTATTAAAAATTGTTAATATAAAAGGGGGGGGGGAATGGAGATATTCACAAAATTACAGAAACAAAATAGGTAGCTTAAAGTGAAAATTCAATCACATAAAAAATAAACGAGCAAAACTAAGGTTTGAGACATAGTATTAACATTATTTTCTCAAGCTACAAATCTCTATTTTGACTCTAATAGCCCCCCCCCCCCCAGTGGCACAGCTGTATGTCTGCGGACTTACAACGCTAGAAACCGGGTTTCGATACCCGTGGTGGGCAGAGCACAGATAGCCCATTGTGTAGCTTTGTGCTTAATAACGACCAACGAACTGTTTAATGCTGGAGATTTCCATTTCCCGCATGAACACTACACAGAAATAAGTACAGTTATACACTCGTAAGTTGTTTCCCAACTCGATCATTGATTGAGTAACCAGATTATCCTTTGTAAACTCTGTGACGGCTAATAACATTTAAAGCTTCTTGTACCAAATATTGGGACAAATAATTAACACTAGGTAGGCGTAATACACGTGATTCTGTGACTTTCTAGCATGCGCGTTAAACTTCCTTCTCATTCGTGTAATGTAAGGAAGCACATTATGCTAATATAATAATAAGTTGGCAAATAACGATTTATAAACATAATGATGTGATTTGGAGGGGGGGGGGGCATAATACATGTTTGGACAAAATAGTCTTCGGTCTTCTTGGAGAGCACACCTGAAGAAACGTGTGGTATGTTCTCCCCAAAATAAATCACTTTATTATGCTTTAAATCGTTGTTTGCCAACATATTATTATTATCTAAAGTAAGATAATTAACACACAGACTCCCTTAAAAACTGATACCTGTGTAACGCTTACAACACTTTTCGTGTACTACCAATTTTAATTTTATACCTAAACAGGGCCATTTAAATTTAAATATTCGAGGGGGATTGGGTGTTCAAGCCTGACCTTGTGACTATAAACAGTGTATATCTTACGATCTAACTTTAGTAATATTTTCACAATGCGATAAATGTCGACCACAGTTCAAGTAACTTGTTACCACGAATACAGTCGTTATGTGGGACTTATTTCATTTGTGGTCAAAATGTGGTACTGGCAAAACTCGCGTTACTTCGCATGTCAACAAATTGGTAAGCTCCTGTTATTTTATGATTGATTTAGACACCAC